GAATAAATTTGTTATCTTGCTACCTAGTTTTCATTGTCATTTTTAAAATTATATTTTATCTCTTATTTAAATATATTTCTATTGTTATATAATTATATGCAGTAAAATACACAGAAAAGTACAGTTTGATGAGATTTGACAAACTTATATACCCATATTAACACTGCAATCAAAATGTAAAATATTTTCAGCATCCTGGGAAGTTCACTGATCCTCCTTTCCAGTCAATTTTCCTCTCAACCCAAAGCAAGCATTATTTTAATTTCACCTCTTTGGAATATTTCTGCTGATTCTTGAAGTTAATACAAATGTATATAAAGTACGTACTTTTTTGCGTCTGGCTTCTTCTGCTCAATATATTATTTACAGAATCATCCATATTTTTTGCATATATCAGTATTTTTGTTCCTTTTTATTGCTGAGTCATATTTCATTATATGTATATACCACAACTTGTTAATTATTTCTCATATTGATGGACATTGCCTTGTTTCAAATGTTTTGCTTTTAAGACTAAAACACCAGAGTGACCCACTGTGAATGATTTCTCTTCTCTTTTCCACATCAGTGAATTGTGCCATCAAATACCCACTTCATAGTCAGAAATCATTTTCTGTTACTCTCTCTTTCTTTTGATTCTTTTGTTCAGTTTCTCTGATTTCCTCTCTTTGGAATTCATTCTCAGCTTCAGACTTTATTTGTTAACTTCTCTACCTGCTGATTAGATTATCAATTTATTATAAAATGATACAACTCAGGAATAGCCAGATAGAGGAGATGCATAGGACAATGTATGGGGGGAAGGGGCATAGAGTTTCCATGAATTCTCCTAATACTTTCACCTGTACACCAGCCCAGAAGCTCCTTTACTTCTTCTTTAAAACTATCTTGGCTTTCCTAGATCCTTTGAATTTCCACATAATTTTAGAATCAGATTATCCATTTCCACATATTTAAACATACTCCGCTGTTATTTTAATTTGGATGATATTCACTGTATAGCTTAATATTGAGACTTTCCATCTATTCAGGTCTTCTTTAATTTCTTTTAGCAATGTTTTCACTATATGAGCTATATATATCTTTTGTTAGTTTTATTGCTATTTGATGGGTTTTAACTATTTTAAATTGTATTTCGAAAACTTCATTTTCTAATTATTTGCTGCTGATACATGTGAATATAACTGATTTTTGCATAACAAATAGCACCCTTCATAAATTTACACAGTCATTTTAATAATTAATTAGTAGATTCCTTGATATTTCTTTATATACACAATCATGTAAAGTTATTACTCTTTCCACTTTTTAAACCATTTCTTTTATTCTTTTTCTTTATCAAATTATCTAGGACCTCCACTTTAATGTTGAGTAGAAGGGGTAAGAGTGGACAGCCTTGCCTTGTTCTCAAACTTAGGTGGAAAAATTCAATATTGCACTATTAGAATGATTTCTTTTAGAAGCTTTTGGTAGCTATCCTTTACTAGATTAAGAAAGTTTCATTTTATTTTAAGTTAGCTAAGAACTTTTAATTTTTAAAACAGAATTTTAATTTTTAAATTACAGTTGACATACAATATTATTATATATTATTATACTAGTTTTAGGTGTACAACATAATGATTAGACATTTACGTAACTTACAAAGTGGATCACCCATCAGATACTATACATACTTATTTCAATATTATTGACTATATTCTTTATGCTATACTTTACATTCCCATGACTATTTTGGAACTACCAATCTATACTTCTTAGTTCCTTCCTATTTATTACCAACCCAACCCTCTTTTCATCTGGCACCCATCAATTTGTTCTCTGCACTTATGAGTTTGTTTCTGTTTTGTTTGTTTATTTTGTTTCTTAGATTCCACATATAAGTGAAATGGTATGGTTTTGATTTTCTTTGTCTGACTTGTTTCACTTTGTATAATATCCTCTAGGTCTATCCATGTTGTTGCAAATGGTAAGGTTTCATATTTTTTATGACTGAGTAATATTCCATTTTATACATGTACCACTTATTCTTTATTTGTTCTCCATCAATTGACAGCCAGGTTGCTTCCACATTTCGGCCATTGTAAATAATGCTGCAATGAACATATGGATGCACATGTTTCTTCAAAGTAGTGTTTCGAGTTTGTTTCAATAAGTTCCTGAAGTGGAGTTACTGGCTCCTTCTTTGTCTCTTGTTATAGCTTTTGTTTTAAAATCTTTTTCGTCTGATGTAAGTATTGCTACCCCAGTTTTTTGTTTATTTGTTTCCATTTTCATGAAAAATCCTTTTCCATTCCTTTATTTCTGGTATATCTGTATCTTTTGATCTGAAGTAAATTTCTTGTAGGCAGCATATGTAAGGGTCTTGTTTTCTTATCCAATCAGCTACCCTATCTTTGGACTGGAGCATTTCCATTTCTGCTTAAAATAATTGTTGATAGATTTGTAGTAATTGCCATTTTATTATTCATGTTTTTATCTTTATTTTCTTTTTCTTTTTAAAGAAGTCCCTTTAACATTTCTTTAATTTTAATGGTGATGAACTCTTTAAGTTTTTTTTTTTTTGGTTGCTTTAGGAAGCTCTTTATCTATCCTTCAATTCTAAATGATGCCTTGCTGGGTAAAGTAATCTTGGTTGTAGGTCCTTGCTTTTCATCACTTTGAATATTTCATGCCAATCCCTTCTGGCCTGAAAAGTTTGTTAAGAAATCAGCTGGCAGTCTTATGGGAACTTCAGGAATTGTAAATTTAGTAAGGCCATGTGAAAGCTTAGTTACTGAGAAAAATGAGGTACTATATAATTACCTAGAGTACTAAAAATATTCTTAGTTATCTTCTAGCTTTCGATCTTGGTATACAATTGAATACTTTTTTTATTCTGGTTAAGAACAGAAACTGTCTATCTGGTGACAGGTTGTGACCCCCAAAATGTAGTTTCTTAGCAGAATTGAAGTTTTCTCTAGGTGCTTTATTCTCTGTTCTGCTCATTTGGATAAGAGGTACTTGGGGTCTTCAGGTAAACTATGTAGATCAGAAAACACAGCAGCAAATTGTCTACATATTGAGTCAAGGATGGACTCATAGAGAAAATTCAAATCCTTGAGATTACTTTTTAGACATTTAGAGAAATATAAAGGTGACTTTAAAAGTCCCTGAAGTTTAACCATCCAGGTACATTAATTTTCCTAGGAAAAAGTCAATACCGACTATCTTTATATGTGGGGATACTAAAGAAGGCTGCATGTAAATTAACCACTGCGAAATATTTACTTATTGAGAGAATGAAGGTTTCAGAACAGTATTCTAATGATTGCATGATATTTCATTAGTGCTGTAATTAATCTTTAATGTTTGGTATTTTGGTGTCACTATTTTCAATAACACAGCAAAGAAGACATAAAGGCACAAAAGCATAAAGCTTTTTCTGAATAGATACCTAGGAGTGAAATTCTCTAGTTAAAAGTATGAATATTTTAAGGTTTCTTAGTTTATATTGCCAAATTCAAGAGATTGTGTAATAAGTAAAAGGTTTTCTTTTCATGCCATATTTACCATTATTGAATTTTCTCATTAAAAAGGAAAGGGCTAATTTCATGGGTGAAAACGGCATTTCATTGTTATTTTGACTTCTTTTTTGGTAGGGTGACTATTTCTCTATGTAGGTTGTTAGCCAGTTTGATTTTCTCTTTTGTAAATTTATTTATGTCTTTGGCTCATTTATCTATAGGGTGAGGGAGTACAACTTAAATTATTGTTAATGGGTTATTAATTTATACTAGTATAATCAGTTTATAGATTATACTAGGCATAGTCCCCACTCATTCAATTTTACTGAAAAACATTCTCCCCTGTTATTTGTTTGTTATACTGTGGCATTTTTAAAATAGAAATTTCAAACTTTTATGAAGTCAAAACTACATCTGTTGCTCTTCCATTGATTTAACACTTAGTTCTTCCTCATCCAAAGAACTGATTAATGTTCGCTTAAATTTCTTAGAAATATTTGTTTTTTTAATATTTGATTCTTCAATCCATCTGGATTTTATTTTGGTGTAAAGAACTCCATGAATTTTTGATGTATATAAGACTGTTTATCCTCCCTCCCCCAGTACTATGCAGGCTCAAAATGTTTATCTTTTTGACTTAGTATTTCCTCTCGACAGGGATAACCAATTTAACAAATTGATCATTTTGATACCTTAATTTTTCTTTTTCTTTTTCTTAACATTAAGTAAGCCATTAAACATTGCTCTGAGGGTACTACACTAATCAATATTTGAACTTTATAGTCATTTTTATTGTTACACAGAGGCACATGCGTGTGTGTGTGTGTGTGTGTGTTTCAGAAGGATAAGTTTGTTGGAAATGTATTAATGTGATGATAGTAACTGTATTTTAAATAATATTCACTGTTATTTTAAAAGTTACACATATGTACACATTATGTGTATATATATACATGTACATATATATATATATATACAGATAAGCAAAAAAAGTTTCCATATTGCCATCACTTATCTAAAGTTTGATATAATGGGTTTATCTTTTTCTATTATGCATATACACACAATAATACCATATATTTTTTACTTTTATTTATTTAAATAATGCTTAGGCAGATTGTAATATCTAGATTGTAAAAGGCATATCTAATCAGAATTAGACAGACCTACATAAGATCCATATATTACTGTGAATTAATGATTCGGAACAAATTTACTTAAACTAGTTAACCATCTAATTTTCTTAAGCAATGTGTATTTATAGTAGACGCCAATCAGGGAAGTCAAGTACAACTGTGTGAGTTATTTGAAAACCATTAGTGAGTAAGATATGACTTAGAATGTACATAACTTCTTATTCCCTAAATCTTCCCTAAAAGGTACTAAGCGAGGGACAAGTGAAAAAAAGGTAATAACCATTTTAGGTTATTTCTAGAAAATAGGTTGTGTTCACATCATGGGGATATATGTAAGGTATGTATCCATCTTTCTTAGGAAGTTGTGCGGTTCCTGGATACCAAACATGAAAACCACTATCAAGTCTACAATCTATGCAGTATGTACTTGACTAGATATTTTGCTTCTATAGATAGAAAACAGATCATTGCATAGAAGATGATGATTCACTTTTTACATTTCATTTAATCATAAATATTTGATGGTAATGGGAAGTGAGTTAATAAAATCTTCATTTTGCACTGGCCTTACTTGGTAGGAAAAGGTAGCTCACCAGCACAAAATGCCCTGTGAGGAACACAGAAGGCTAGAGTGGAGGTGGAGCCATTTTAGGAAGAGTCTACTCTAGTGATATTAGGTTTAGGAAAATACTTCTGTTTTTCCTGCCAGGTTGTGTTTTGAAGACAGACAATTCAACAAATGTATTTTCTAACCCACCAGGAGTTGGGTGTGAGGAGAACAAGGCCCTACACTTAAAACAAAACTGTAGAAAATAGATTGTATTCCAGCTTACTACTATGTCTCTCTTGATTTTTCATCTTCCTAGATATTGAATAGTTGTTTGCAGGAGGCAATCATTTTTGTTGGCCACATTTGCTTCTGCTCTGTGGTTTCTAACTACTCTACCATAATGCAATGAGTAGCCTGCTAGAAAATTAAAAGTAAGGCCTATTAAATAAATCAAAATAAGCTGGGTTTAGGTTACTCAAGTTGGACAAACCATTACTGTTACTATATTTTTGAGACTCTTAAGTTTCTTTTAGTGTAGCAGGAACCAATCAGAATACTCCTTTTAAAAGTGAATAAAGACTTTATAACAGAAAAGAATAACTTATTTACAACATTAACATTTACTGTGTTTATTATGTATAGAGATATGACCTATGTTTCTTTTATTTTAGGTGAAAAATCTTATGATCCTAAGTACTTCCATCATAGGGTCCATCGAATCATGATTGATGATCACAATGTCCCCTCTCTGAGGTAAGTTTTATGCTAAGTTAGCTGTCAGAAAGGGGCTAAATACATTGTTCTTGATTTTTTGGAAGTATTTTAATTCAACTAAAAATCTTACATTTGAAATTAGTGAGATGTTGGAATTTTCCAAAGAAGTAAACAAATGGATGGCTCAAGATGATGAAAACGTCGTAGCGATTCACTGTAAGGGAGGCAAAGGTAAAATTATTTTTCTTTTTATTTCTCTTTTTTTAAAGAAATTTGAAAAATATATTCAAGTACAAGTATTACATTTTTGGTGGGCTGTAAAACAGTTTTTTTAAAAAATTGAATTCCAGGAAAACACAATACTTTAAAACTGCCTTTTATAATTGAGTAGAATCAAGTTTTAGTATTACATGAAAATTAGTTTCAAGCTCATTAGTAGTAGGCAAGTTCTATCTTTAGTTCTACAGGTTGAAATATTCTAAATATTGGCAAATTATAAATGAAGAGTATAGAGGTCGAACTATATGGAATGATCAGTTTTGGACCATTTTTTACTTACAAAAATGGCCGTTCCACATGACTCAACCTATGATAGTATTATATAGTGCTAGCAATTGGCTTGTTTTCTTTTAATTAAAGGTAATTCTCTGTTTGAAGGAAAACATTTCAAATTTATTTTATTTTATTTTATTTGCAGAAGGGGACTTATTGTGTTCACATGGTTTTCTTTTATTTAAATTTTATTTTATTAATGGTTTCAAGTATACAGTACATTGGCTAGACATTTATATAGTTTATAAAATGATCCTTTTAACTGCTCTTTTTCTCCTCTGGCTCTAAACCTAGCCGTTACATTAATGCTAACTACCGTGCTCTACGTCATGCTCCACACCCCTGTGACCATCTATCAGCTACTAATTTATATTTCTTTAACCCTTCACCTCATTCTCCCAGCCCCCCAAACTCCTTCCCCTCTGGCCATCATCAGATTGTCTTCTATATTTGTGAGTCTGTTTTTGATTAGTTTTTCTTTTTGTTTCTTAGATTCCGCATATAAGTGAAATCATATGGTATTTATTTTTCTCTGTCTGACTTATTTCACTCAGCATAATAACCTCTAGGTCCATCCATGTGGTTGCAAATAGTAGGATTTCATTTTTTTAATGACTGAGTAATATTCCATAACTTCTTTGTCCAATCATCTATTGATAGGCATTAGGTTGTTTCTATATCCTGGCTATTGTAAATTGTGCTACCATGAACATAGGGGTGCGTAGATCTTTATGGATTATTATTTTGATTTATATAAGTTGACATTTTTTCTCTTAAATGTAATATGGAATTCATTAGAGAAACCATATTGGCCTTAATGTGGGAAATTGGCATCAATTTCTCCTTGAGGAAATTTTTAAATTATCATACAATTTTATTAGATAGAGGATTGTTTATCATTTTACCTCTCTACCCACTTTGGTAGGGTGTATTTTTTCAAGCATTCATCTATTTTATCTAAATTCAAATGTCTTGGCATCACATTTTTCAAAATACCTTATTCTAATGTATATGGTGGTATTTACTTTCTTATTCCTTATATTACTTTCTTGGTGCCTTTCTCTCCGTCTCTGTCTGTCCGTCTGTCTCTCTCTCTCTAGATTAATCTCACCAAGAATTTATCAATTTTATTAGTCTGTTCAAAGTACCAAGTTTTTTTGGCTTTATTGACCACCTCTTTTGTTCGTTTTCTAGTTCATGAATTACTATTATATTTACTGCTTCCTTCTGCTTTCTTTGGTTTAATTTGTTGTTCTTTTCCTAACTTCTTGAGATAGATGATTAACTTCTTGAGAGAGATGATATATTTTTAACCCTTCTCTTTTTTATTTAGCATTTAAAGCTATAAATTTTCCTCTAAGAATTACGTTAATGTCACAGTTTTATATCTAGTATTTCATTATTATTTTATTCAAAATATTTTCTAATATTTTTTGGTCTTGTTTCTTTGACCCATGGGTTATGTAGGAGTATACTTTCTTATTTTCAAACATGAGGATTTTGTAATTATCACTTAGTTACTGGTTTAGGGTTGTATTACATTGTAGTCAGAAACATATGTATTTTTTTTGTTCTTTGAAATTTGTTTAGACTTGTTTTATGGCCCTGAATTTGATCAATTTTATCAAATGTTTTCTGTGCACTTGAAAAGAAAATGTATTATGCATTGTTGTGAACAGTGTTCTGAATGTGTTTATTAGGTCAAAGGTTAATTGTTTTATTCAAATCTTCTATATCTTGTTTTGGTTTGAATTTTTTTTTTTTTACAATATAATTCCTTCCTCTCACCTACCACTATTAGTTTGGAAGTCATATACTCATTTATATACCTTTTGTTATTATCTAAAGATTTCAACCTGCATCCTTCATTCAGCTATTGATTTTTTTTTTATGTTGACCTTGTAGCTAACTATCTTCCCGAATTCTCTCATTAGTTTTAGTAGTTAGTCTATAGATTTACTTGGATTTTTCTATTCTGCAAATAATGAAAGTTTGTTTTTTTCTGTTCTTATCCCTACACATTTGGTTTCTTTTTCTTATCTTAATTCACTGTCTAAGCCCTGTAATACAGTATTAAATAGAAGCTGTGAGTAGTGGACATTTTTGCTTTGTTTCTGGCTTTAAAGGAAATACTATCAACATGTCATCATTAATATTAATATGATGTACTTGGTAGCTATTTTGGTAGATTCCCTTCATCAAATTAAGGAAAGTTCCTAGTTTTTCTTAATTTTAAAATTGTGAATATATACCGAATTTTAGTGAATGCTTTTTTCTGTATTTATTGAGGTAATTGCAAGGTATGTCTTTTAATCTGTGAATATGATAAACTACATTAATATAGATTTCTGATATTAGATGATCCTTGCATTCCTGAGATAATTGTCAATAGTTATTGAATATTATTTTTTCTACATTACTGAATTCAGTCTGAAAACATCTCAATTAATTTTTTAACATCTATATTCATAAGTGAAACTAGTATAAAGTTACCTTTTCTTCTATTATATTTGTACAGTTTTGGAATTAGTTTTGTCAATGTTATTAAATGAGTTAAATTATTAAATGAATTAAATTATTATTATTTTAAAAATTGTAAAAGATAGAAATCATTGCTGCTTTATAGATTTGATAAAAATCTCATCTTGTGTTTTGGAGGAGGTGGTTAGAAAGACTGTAAATATTTTTAATGCAATGTTATTGCTCTATTCAGGTTTTGCCTTCTTGAGTCAACTTTTTAATTGAAAATTTATTTAAGTTTTTTAAATGATTGACATAAAGTTATTCTTGTAGTGCTTTTAAATTTCTATTACATCAGTAATTTGTCCCCATTTTAATTTCTAATATTTATGCTTCCTTTTTAAAAATCAGTTTTATAAAAGATTTGTGTATTAGTTTCTTGGGGAAAAAACCTGATGTTTAATGTTGTTAATAATTCTATTGTGTTTTCTGCTTCACAAGTTTCTGCTTTAATACTTATTTTATTTTTTCTCCTTTATGATCTATGATTTTAAATTATTTATTTTAAATCACTTAGTGTTTAAGAGTTTTAGCTACATTTTAATTATCAAATTTTTCATTGTACTTCTTCAGAGATAGTGATAGAATCAAAGTGTAGTCCATGGACTAGCAGCTTCAGCATCAACTAAGAATCAGTTAGGAAAACAAAATCTCATAATCGCAGGCCTACTGGATTAGAATCTACATTTTTCTAAGATCCCCAAATGATTCATACACCATTTAAGTTTGAGAAGCACCAATCACTAGGACTGCTCAGTAATAACTGGAGAGTTTTTTCCCTTTTATATTTTTCCCTTCTATTTTATCTAAAGCTTTGCTTCACCCTAGGAATTTACTTAACCATTTTTTTCTCCAACATGGAAAAAAGAACAATACGAACTTGTAACATTTTTCACCTACTCAAAGAGTACCTTCAGAGTGTTTGGGCCCTTTCTTCTACTTGGAAGAGGAAATAAAAATCAACAGCATCACCTGGGTTGCACTTTTTACTCACTGTAGCCAGCAGAGCCAAACTCAGCCAGGGGAGCCAGCAAACCAACTCTCATATGGTTGGATCTATCATTTTTAATTCTATAGATAACTTCGACCTCTCATAACAGCAGCTGAGTTGCTGTTTCACACCATTGGTAACTCTGTAACCACTCGGGCATCACAGATTCATCATACACATTCCTTTATCCTTCCTTTTCCAAAACAATACTTTTGCCATATTTCAGTGAGTCAGGGTTATTTTAGCAAATCTTGCTTCTGCTGCCAACTGTATCAGATGTCTTTAAGACCTACCCCTACATTCAGTGATTCCCCAGGGGACTCACAGCACTCAGCATATAGTCTTATTTATGGCTATGATTTATTACAGTGAAAGAATACAAAGCAAAATGAGCAAAGGGGAAAGGCACATGAGGCAAAGTCCTTAAGAAACCAGGCATAGGTCTTCTCCAGTGGGGTCACACAGAATGTGATTGATTCCTTCAGTAGTGAGTTGTGAAAACACATGTGAAATATTTCCTACCAGGGAAGCTCGGGATTTTTATTGGAAGCTAGTCAAATAGACATCTTTTCCTTAGAATGGACTGAAATTCTAGACTTTCAGAAGAAGAACAGGTGTTTAGCATAAATCATATTGTTTGCGTAAACAGTTTAGGCACAGTGAGCCAGTCTTATCAGGGAATGGTGAGAATCCTCCAGAAATCCAATTTTTTAGATGTCAGCAAGGCCAAACTTCAAGCAGTCCTACTGATAGCAGTCAGGCTTGCTATGTTAACTCTTTTCTGCATAATGATGTTGGGTCTCTGGAATTTGTTGAGACTTTTTTGTGGTGTAATATGTGATCCATTTGGCACTATAACTAGAAATCTCATATCTAGGAAGTAGTATATATTCTCTAATTTTCTTCTATTTAGCTATCATTAATCTTTTAAATTACATTATTTAAATCATTATGTTTACTTTTTTTAATATGTAAGAATCTGAGAGAGGTATGTTGAAATTTTCCACCATGACTGTAAATATGTTGGTTTCTTTTTTAACTGAGTCATTGCCAATGACTTTATTTTTAAAAAATTTTTTCAGTTACAGTTGACAAGCAATATATTAGTTTCAAGTGTACAACACATTGATTAGACATTTTATAACTTATAAAGTGATCACCCTATCTG